TTTTATCATAACATGTAAATTTGTTTTAAAAAAATTATTAGGATTTTCTTAAAATCTATTTTCATTTATAACTAAAAAATTTTAAACTCCAAATATAGTTAAAATCAAGTAGATCTATAAACATATGAAAATCTTGAAAATAGACGGTCTAGATAATGTGTTGCAATATGCATTATTTATGGGACTAAAAAACTATTTTTTCCATATTCTTACATCTCAATATCGAGATGATCAATTTGAGGGTTTTTCAATATTAAAACAACTTTTCTGATAGATTTGTGAGGTGGATTTGTAATTCTACATTTTAAGGTTGGAACCTTATAAACTTTTTTCTTATTTAAATTTCTAAAACAATACTGAACTTGCACTGGATTGGAAATGACTAAAATAACCCCATTTCCTATAATGAAAAATGAGTTTGAGGGTAAGATTGACCTTTTCAATAGACGAAATGTAATGGGTCCCCCAAATGACAAGTTCGACATTTTGATGTGCAGAAGGGCATTCGAAAGGCAGCACCTCAATCCACTTTCTCAACCATGCATAATCTCCCTTGATTATCTTGAGAATATCGGGAGCACCCTTTTGTCCCTAGTGCATTTGAAAATTTCTATATTTAATACTACCCTTATATTTTTTTAAAGACAAAAAATAGCCTATTGACACTTTTTTTTTTTTTGGATAAATAAGTGGGATAAGGGGTTACAAAAAAAAAATTCAAGATGTATCCTACCACCCTAACCGCCTAGCTTTGAGCCCATTCCTACCCTATCTATGCTTGAGACAATGAGAATTGGGCAACACGGCCATAGTGCCATATTGCCCACAAAAGATCTCTACCATCCTTTGCTTGGATCCAATGGTGAATGCCGGTTAACATAGCGCACCCCATTGGCGTATGGGATACACCAGTGTTCAAAAGGTTGACTTGGCTCGGGTTGGAGGCCTAATGAGTCCAAAAGCAAAACCTTGGGGCTCGTCATGAGCCAACAAATATCTAAATAAGTTATTTTGTTTTTTGGAAAACAATTGGTCTTTTATAAGAGTCCCGAGTTAGAATGGGTGACTCAAGCTCGAGTCTAGGTGAGTCCGAGCCCAAGCCAAGCACTACCACATAAGTACCGATAAGACAATTACCTATGTTTTTATGATAGATGGTAAATATTAATGGCAGATGCCATGGATTGATATTTACTTAAACTCAAGGCCGCGAATGAGTCGGGCCTTGGTGGTGTGAAGCCAACGAGGATCAGCTCGAATGGTGCTGAAAGGGCCTTGGCCTAGGCTTAGTCTGTGCCAGTCCACAATAAGCCCACCTTGACCGTGGCTCTGGTCTAGGTCCAACCAAGCTAGCAATGGTGGCCAAGCCCTCAAGTGATTTTTTGTGGATGGCCAAGCCCTAAAGAGGATTAAGAAGAGCTCTCTATAGACCAAGGAGAGAAAAGGAAGGTAGGTCGGGTGCGGTAGTGAAATTAGGGGGAGGGGGTAAAAAGGAAATACAATCATATTCGCTATCCGGTTTGTACAAAACCAAAAGATAAAATAACCATTCAAATATGGACAAGGTTTCTATGAGTTCATGAAGAAATGAGTCAACTCTTAAAAATCTATTTTTGAGATAGATTTTCAGACCCAATTTTTAAGAACATGTAATCTCTAACATGGAAATCATCATCATTATAGCATTTTTTCAATTAATTGGGATCGGCTACACGAATCATGAAGATCATGAATATAGAAAAATAAATAAATTTTAAAAAATAAAAATAATGGAAGTGTTAATTGGTTTTAAATGGACTACCCATTTACATCAATCTTTAAGATGAATGCTTTATACCTTGGGACCGCATATTGTAGAAATGCGGTCCATCCCGCATGAAACAATTTCCTTTCAAATGTTGTGAGGTCTTAGAATAATTTGGCAACTTATGCTGAGTGAAAAAAAAGAAGCAATAAGGCCAACATAGCTGAACAACTCGTATGTTTGCCACCCACCATTGACTTATCCATGTCGTATAAGGAAAACTAAGAATCCAGAAAATTGCATCTAAGAAATTATGTCAAATGCGATCCTATTTTTCAATTATGGCATTTTTGAATCCATTCCAAGGTTAAAAATGTTCATATCGGAAATCAAAATCAATATGTCCACATTGATCGGTAGCTCAAAATCCATAAAATTCTGCTCAAATAAGAAAGTCGAAGTGAAAATAATTTCGATATTTATTAGAACATTTAAGCAGGTTAAATCAGTTTAATCACATATCCATGGAGTTGAGCTTGTGGTGGCATCTTTAAAGGAAGTAGGAAAGATGGCCTCATACGTACCAGGAACTTCAGTGGTCTAGAGGATAAATTGTGTTGGTGCTAGGCTAACAAAAATTGCAAGGACAAGGGGCTTGGAAGTGTCAAAGGAAGGATTGATAAAAAGAAAATATGAAGAGAGAAAATTTAGTCTAGATCAGCATAGGCAAAATTGGCCGATTCAAATTCTAGCCGCCCAGTTAAATCGGAACCAGCTACTGTGTTTTGGTGAACTGTATGTTAAAAAGAATTTAAAATAATTATATAAAATCCTCAAAATAAGGGATTTTGTTTGGAATGTTTTTTTTATTTTTATCATTTTCAAACTCATTTGAAAATGTTTCGGGATTTTCCCTTTTTAAAATTTTTTCAAATATACCCCTGAGCACAAATCGATTCTTTGAAACTTATTTTTCATTAATTTTCAATTTCATTTGGATGTGTTTTGTTTAATCATTATTTAAATATATTTTTAAATTTTATTAGATTTTATTTTATATTTTTTAAACACTTTTTTTACCGCCCCAGACTTGCCCGGTCAGGCCGGTTGAACCGACCCGTTTACCGATTAGGTCGATTGAACCGCTTCTAGCCCCATATCTGATTAATCATTCCAGTTGGATTTTCCAACACTGTTCTTACTTCTATTTTTGTTGAGTTAATCTCTCGTTGTTACTTCTATTTTTGTTGAGTTGATAACCTCTAGTTGTTACTTCTATTTTTGTAGGAGTTGATAATCTCCTTTGCCGGTTCTTATTTCAAGGTTTGCTTTATATTCAATGGGTATGGTTATTCCTAAAATTTCTAAGTCTGGATTCAATGTGAGGGTAACCCTGACTCAGGGTTATCTAGTGGGCAGTGCGTTACAGGCTACTATCTGTTCACTTGTTTCAGGGGGCATTTCATTCAATATGAAACATTTATGTATCACAATGATGATGATCAGTGTAGCAAAAATAGAACCTGAAGGGTTAACAGGACGGGGGTCGGAAGCAGTTCAGCTGATATAATCGGTAAATCGATCGGTTCAACTGGTCTAACAGGGCAAGTCCCGAGTGATCAATAAAGTGTTAAAAAATAAATAAATAAATACAAAATAAAATCTAATAAAATATGAAAACTATATTTAAAGAATGATTAAACAAAGTACATCCGAATGAAGTTGAAAACTAATAAAAAAATAGATTTTAAATAATTGATTTGTGCTCAAGGATATTTTTGAAATTTTCAAAAAAGATAGAAAAATGCCAAAACATTTTCAAAATGATAAAAAATATTTAAAAATACATTTTAAACAAAATCTCTTATTTTTCAGGATTTTAATAATTATTTTAATTTATAAAAAAAATATCTAGCCGGTTCACTGAAATCGGAACCGACAAGTTGCTGATTCCAATTTAACCGAGCTAACTGAGTTGTTAGAATTTGAACCACCTGATTTTTCTTATACAGGCAAGAAGTATCAAACGGAACTTCCAACTCAACAAAGATCGGAGGTGCATTCTTTAACATTAAACAGTAATGAGCTGAAGCAAACTCAACATATTGCACTTACAAGTGATTGCAGAAAACAAAATACAAAAATATATAAAAAAATGGTTGCCTCATAACACGTTGTAAGTGGAGGGGCGCATTGCTTTGGGTTGAACCTCAAAGCAGGAAACATAAACGTAAGAGGGATTTTTTTTTAGTCTTTGTAAGAAACCAACTCAGAAAATAGTTACAGATGAAGGACAAGATCGTATAGCAGCAATTTACTCTTAGAGCTACTGTGGAGGACAAAATTAGAGCAAGTAGAATCGCTAGTTTGTTTATGAGTTTCTGGTTGTTTTGTTTTTCACTTTTTGGAGCTAAGTAGATGATTGCTTCTCTCATTCTAGACATGCCCTGCCCTTCAGAGAAAAGATCATTCTCCTTCTATCGAAGCCGCCGTTTGAGTTGACTGTTCGCTTGTTGCAGTCATCTGTTTAAGAAGGTCAAGGCCATTAAGGATAAGACTATCTTGTACATACAGGAAAAATTGGGCATTTCAAATTCTAACCGACCGTTTAAATCAGAATCCGTTCCGGTTTTCGTGAACCGGCTGGGTATTTAATTAAAATAATTATATAAAATCCAAAAAATAAGAGATTTTGTTTAGAATGTATTTTTAAATATTTTTTAATAAATTTTTAATCACATTTATTATAGTATTATAATTAATAAGTATATATAGATAACCAAATCTTATATTTTATTTATAATGTATTATTATTTCTTAGATTTTTTAAATTAGATGGCGTTATAAGACATTTTAGATTTGTTCTATTATTGTTAGTTTGGTTATGATAGTTTTGAATGAGTAAAGCCAATTGATAAACATTTGATATAATATTAATTTTACTTCATATGAAAAATGATTATTTTATACAATAATATGAAAGTATTTTTTAATATTTTTAAATTAATTGATGCAATATTACAAATATTATATTATAATTAATAATTATCTAGATATTCAAATAAACAAATATTTCAATATTCATTTATTTTATAAAGTAATAAAAATATATAATGCATTTTTTTAAAAAATTAAAATAATATTATTTTTAAAATATTTATAATAATTATTTGAAAAAAAATTTGAAACAAAATTTACGAAATCTACCATCGGATCCGTTTTTTTAAACATTTGATAATGGTCGTAGGAGAATTTTTTCACGCAGACGAACCAAACATGACACTTTTGGCCCCATGATAAACAAGGCCCGTCTGAACAATGAACACAAGCCATGCAAACCCGCTTCCACATTGTCAAACCTCCTCACCTCTCTCTCAGTTTCCACTCTTTCTCCTCTGTTTCTCTCTTTCTCTCTCTAAACAGAAGAAGTCTGCTTCACTTCCACTCTCTCTCCCCTGATCGTCACCTTCTTTTGCTTCCCAGAACCCCAATTTCATATTCCCATCTCTCTCTCACTTTCCACTTTCTCTCATCCAATTCCCACTCTCTCTTTCTATCTAGAATAACACTTATTCCATTCCATTCTCTCTCCTCTAGTCACTTATTTCTCTCTCTAACCAGAAGAACCAACTTCTCCTCTGCTCTCCCTTCTCTCGGATGGCCTGGAGAAAACACCGCAAGACCACCACTCAACAGAACCAGTATTCTTTCACAAGACCATTCTGTCTCTTTTTCTATTCCATGGCTCCAAACTCTCAGAAATTCCATTGCTCTCAGAGATATAGAGCTCGGAAAGAAAACCCATTCTCAGATCATTGTCAATGGCCTAACATCCAATCGATTTTTGCAAAACAATCTCATCAGTATGTATGGAAAATGTGGTTCAATTTGTTATGCACGAAAATTGTTTGATATCAGTCATGAAAGAGACTTGGTGACCTGGAATTCTTTGCTTGCCTGCTATGCCATGGAACCAGAAGACGAATGCTTAGAAACTCTGGTTATTTTTCAAGAAATGATGCGCCACTCACTGGGTCTCACTAGGCTCACCTTTGCGCCAGTGCTCAAGGTTTGTGCTCGATTGGGGCTTCTTGATTCCTCTAAAATGGTTCATGCCTGTGCCGTTAAGGTTGGGCTTGATTGGGATCTCTTTGTTGCAGGCGCTCTTGTGAACATATACTGTAAATTTGGGTGCATTGACGATGCTCGGTCATTGTTTGATAAGATACCGGAGAGAGATTTAGTGTTGTGGAATGTAATGCTTGATGGGTATGCGAGGTTGGGTGATGGAGATGAGGCTTTTTCTCTGTTTCATGAGTTGCAGAGGGCTGGGTTTTGGCCTGATGAGGTCAGTGTTTCGTGTGTTCTTAAAGGATTTAATGGAGGTGAATCAAAAGAGTTGGTTAAGGTTAGAGGAGTTCATGCTTATTCATTGAAATTGGGTATTGATCATGATCCATTTTTGGGTTCTCTACTATACAATTATTACATTCGATTTGGTGAGAATTGCTCAGAATTAGGTATTTGTGAGAGGTCTAATGGGTGGGATTCAGATATTCTATTGTGGAACAAAACCATGTCTTCATATTTTCAGAAAGGGTGGAACTGTGGTGTTTTGAACAGCTTTATTGAGATGCAGAGGAAGGGAATCAAACCTGATTCCATCACATTTATCACACTTCTTAGTGCAATTACAGCTGAGAGAGCAATGCAAGTAGGGAGGCAGGTCCACTGTTTGGCCTTCAAATCAGGTTTCTATCTGAGTGTCCCAGTTGGTAATAATCTTGTAAATATGTATGCTAAAACTGGTGGCCTAATTGATGCAAGGCGTGTGTTTGATGGGATGGAAGAATTGGATCTGATCTCATGGAATTCCATGATATCAAGCTATGCTCAAAGTGATGCGGAGGTGGAGCAGGCAATATCTTTGTTCTCAGACATGCAGAGAAATGGCATAAATCCTGATCAGTTCACATTGGCTAGTGTTTTGAGAGCTTGTGCGGCCAAACCCCCACTTTTTATATTGGGCAAGCAGGTTCAGGTTCATGCTATCAAGCTAGATAGGCTTGGTGATAAATTTATACAAACTGCACTCTTAGACATGTATGCAAAGCATGGTAGCATGGTGCAAGCTGAAGCTTTGTTTGATAACACGATTGAGAATGACTTAGCTTCATGGAATGCTATGATCTCAGGCTATGTTTGGAACCAGGAGGAAGTTAAGGCCTTGAATCTCTTTTCTTCGATGCAACGGTCCAATATGGAATTGAATCAGTTCGGTCTAGCAACCGCCCTCAAGGCATGCAGTTGTTTGGTTGCTATGGATAAAGGAAAACAGATTCATGCCCATGCCATCAAGAAGGGTCATGATATTGACCTTTGCGTGAGCAGTGGAATTGTGGACATGTACATAAAATGTGGTGCCACAAATGATGCATGCTTGGCTTTCAATGCCATGCCTCATCACGATAATGTGGCATGGACCACCATGATTTCTGGTTGTGTGCAAAATGGGGATGAGGATCATGCTTTGCAGCTCTACCATCGAATGATGGATATTGGCATTTGGCCTGATGCATACATGTATGCAAGCCTCATCAAGGCATGCTCTCACATGGCTGCATTAGAACAGGGTAGAGGCATGCATGCCAATGTGATCAAGATGGACCATACCATGGATTCATATGTGGCTACAGCAATCATAGACATGTATGCGAAATGCGGAAACATTGACGACTCTCGTAAGATGTTTGAGAGGATGAATGTGAAAACAATTGCTTCTTGGAATGCCATGGTAGTTGGGTATGCACAACATGGGCATGGGGAAGAAGCTCTTAGGCTATTTGGCTTGATGGGTCTCGATGGAATGAAACCAGATAAGATCACATTCATTGGTGTGCTATCGGCCTGTAGCCATGCGGGCCTAGTGACCGACGCTTGTCACTACTTCAATTCCATGCCTCAGGATTATAGGATAAAACTAGAGCTGGAGCATTATGCATGCATGGTTGATGTTCTTAGTCGAGCTGGGCTGCTTCATGATGCTGAAATGCTAATCAAGAACATGCCTTATGGTGCATCAACCTCTATGTATCGAGCATTGCTTGGGGCATGTAGGATTCACAAAGATTCCGAAATGGCAAAATGGGTGTCTCAAAAGCTATTGCATTTGGAGCCGAATGATTCGGCCGCTTACGTTCTCTTGTCTAATACATATGCTGCCTCTGATAGATGGAATGAAGCAGCTGGCGCTAGGAAAATGATGAATTCGAGGGGCGTTAAGAAAGACCCTGGACATAGTTGGATCGATGTGAAGAATAAGGTTCATTTGTTTGTGGTGGATGATAGGACCCACCCACACTCAGATGCCATCTATGCAAAAGTTGAGGAGCTAATTAGAAGGATTAAAGATGTGGGTTATGTTCCTGATACTGAGTTTGTATTGCTCGACGTTGCAGAGGAAGAAAAGGAGCGGGCTCTTTACTACCATAGTGAGAAGCTTGCAATAGCTTACGGGCTAATTAGTGTACCATGCCCTTTGAAAATACGGATCATCAAGAACCTCAGAGTCTGTGGTGATTGCCACAATGCAATTAAGTACATATCCTGTATTACTGGACGGGAAATTGTTGTAAGAGATGCAAATCGTTTTCACCATTTCAGAGATGGAAGTTGCTCTTGTAAAGATTATTGGTAATAACTGTAACTGTTTTATTTCTTAACCTCTTCATTGATAATGATTACTGTAACTTGTTGGCTTTTTCTTTCATGTATTCTCTTCTTTATTTCTTCAATATCTGGTTTTCAAGAAAACAGCAATACCAGTTATTACAATTAAGAAGATGCCATAACCAGAATTTGGTTGAAAAATTAGAATATGTGCATTTTATAAAGGAATAATTATTAGATTGTTTCCCCAAGTCATCAGGGGTTTGCGTGGAAACGCCACCCTGTGTTCGTGATGCCCTATACAATAAACTCTATGGTTTACAGCAGGGTTTTAAAAAACGCCGAGTAGAATCGGACTCGCCCGGTTCTGCACATAAAACGGGAATCGCTCGTGTCCAGAGAGAACCGGGCAATTCCCAATAGTAGACTCGTGATTCCGCCCGAGTCAGATCGAGTCACCCGGAAGAACACGGGCTGCACAGTGTTCTTCACGGGATTTCGATTTTTTTTGTCATTTTGTGATCGATTTTCAACGTTTTCAGCCTTATGAACGAATCTTACAGACTTTAATTCAAATTTCGAATCATTTTCACTCAATAAAAAGAATTAAAACTACTGTTTTTTATCAACAAATTTGGATCGAAGAGTGAGTTTTAGGGTTTCCGCCATTTCAGTGATTTCAATCGAAATAAAGCTTCATTTTTTGTAAAATTTCAAGCTGAGTGATTGTAAGAGTGTTGGTCAGAATTTTGTGTTCATAATTTGTGATTATCGTGGAGGAATACATATCAATTTTGAGTTTGAAGGCACGGATACACGAAGAACAGGTAAAAACTCTTCTTTTTTTTTCCACTATGCGATCAAATCAAGTCAATATTTTACAAATCATGTATTAAATTTATAGGGTTTTGATTCTTTGTAGTGTTATTTATCATTAGATATATTCAATTAGATTATATTTATTCAATTGGAGTTGGATTTTATAGAAAATAAGAGTGGTGTCTGTTTAAAAAAAAGTGGACTGTTTTTTTTTTTTTTTCCGCCATTTGATCAGATCCAATCAATATTTTACAAATCATGTATTAAATTTATAAGGTTTTGATTCTTTGTAGTGTTGTTTATCATTAGATATATTCAATTTGAATATATTTATTCAATTTGAGTTGGATTTTATAGAAAATAAGAGTGATGTCTGTTAAAAAAAAAGTGGACTGTTTTCTTTGTAGTGTTACTTATCATCTCATGTATTCAATTTCATCTGACTTATTCAATTTGAGATTGATTTTTGAGATTGAATGACTGATGTCTGTGAAGAACTTTGTTTTTTTTTTTTCCCTCAATTCAATCGATTGTATTTAATATTTTGATAATAATGTGTTAATATTATAGGGCTTTGATTCCTTATAGTGTTGTTTATCAAAACATGTATTAAATTTGATGTAATTTATTCGATTTGAGGTGGGTTTTTTAATTGGAATGACAGATGTTAGGTTGGTCTGTGAAGAACTGGGTTTTTTTTTTCATAATCAATTTTTTTGAGAAATCGTGATTTTTCGAAAAATTGTTTTTGATTATCATGAGGAATTAAACAATATTTTTAATTTTTATTGTTAAATTTCTAGTTTAAAAAATTGCATGTTGATAGATTATTTATGCAAAAAATGCATGTTATTATATTTTTAATGCAAAACTGTATTTTTTAATTTGTTGTTAATGCAAAAAAATACATTAACAAATACATGCTAATGAATGTTTAAACGAATTCAATCAATGGCACCTGCGTGACCAAGAAGAAGAACGACGTCGTTTGTCATTTTATTTTTTGATCGTATGTTACTAATTGTATGCTTTATTGTAGTTCTTGTATGTTGATATACTTATTCCATGATAATTCTATATTTATCCTTTTGTGTTATGTAAATTAAATGGTAAACAGTAGTACGTGCAGGGAAAGAACCTATCAATATTCGCATATTCATGCAAAGAAATGAAAATTCTTAATGGAGTAACCTCATTTCTTATTGAATTCCTAAAAAATAATATTTATAATGAATTTTAATAATTTTTTTAATTTTTTTTAAGCTTTAATCTGACCGATAAATCCTATTTTTCGATGCGGATCGCCGATTCGACGATCCGGATCAGTTTTTAAGATGCCCGATCCAAATCACCGATCCGCTTTTTAAACCATTGGTTTACTGTCTAGACGAGTTGATACTTAACTTTATACTTTAATAAAATAAATTGAACCATTTAAGACAGAAAATAATGATTGGATGGTCAAACCTTCAATGTGGGCCGACAAGTCGGCCGATGCCACACATTGGCAAGCAAATATCTTGGGGCACCACTTCATCGATCCCACCATGCCCGGACCTTTCCACAAGTTCCTCCCAACAGCAATAGTGGTCCTCGGACAATCCCACTCAACCGAGGTTACCCCACTGATGGCTTTGAGCCTATGTACTATGGTATGCAGTGATTACCACTGTCCCATCAATGGATTGGACGATGTAGGAGGAGATGGTATACAATTTTGAATTGACGAATTGTATGGCTTAATTCTATCTGCATGACCATCTAGTCATTTAATTGGACAACTCTAAGCCTTTCAGTCATGGTCATCAGCATCAATGCATGGATCATATTATACTTTTTGAAATATTGAGAAAGAGAAAAACCAAACTATGAAGCCATCTCATGAGTTAAGACCAACAAGGGAAATTTGGCCATATGCAATTCTGGTGGTGCAGGAGTTGGTGTTTTCGAAGGGGTTTGTTACTGTCAGCAGGCACTTTATTGAAAATATTTAATTAGATTTTAGGAATTCCAACAAACTACACCTAAGATTTGAACAATTGCACATTTACAACCTATGCTTCTTTTATCTAATTTTGAATCACTGGTCATTCTTTTGATCGAATTTGAAATATCATTATCAAGTGACACGTCAAAAAAAGTATTGAAATTTATCGAAGTACTTACCCAAATTTTTTTTTATCAAAGTGCACCCGGATAAAATGTTAAATAGATCAAGTTCAGGCGTGTGATAAATTCCCTTTGTTTGTCAACTGTAACAAGGAAATGATTAGTAAAGGAGATATGAAGGTTAGCAGTAAGAAATTTCCTTTTATATGTTTCCCCTTTTTTCTCCTTTGTCTGAATTGTGCATATGATCTGCTCATTGGTTAAGGATGAGAAAAATGTCCTTTAACTCCTAGCAGGAAATAGGCAATGGAAAGAAAAGCGTATAAGGTCGATTTACATATATAGAAAGGCTATTTTAGCAATTCTACCTAATAGCAATGAAATTAGTGATTAAGTTCGCTTATGCATGGGAAGTCCTTAGGACTATTTTTCTTTCTTTTTCTTTTTACATTTTCTTTACATGTTAACAGGATAGGAGGAATTATTGACATCAAGGTGTTGCTCTTCTACCACCTAGAGTTTATACAACTTTGGCATCGGATCAAACGAGGTTAAACTATCGTGCAACACTATGGATTGGAAGAAAATAAGGGCTTTTGAATTTAGTTTTTACTCGTGGGAGAGAGAAAAGATGAAAATGACAGACAAAAACTCTTATGTAGTAGAAAAAGAAAGAAAAAAAAGGTGATGCAACATTTTAGAGTTAAAGTGAGAGGGTGTTCCACACCATCTAGTTTAGTTGGACGATCTATATCTGACTTTTCTTTTAAGGCAACGTTATTAAAAAAAGTGTTACACCTTTGAATAACTGAGGATGATGTAGATGAGCTACAAGGATTCATCCACTTTCCCTATTTGTGTGTCCAAAACACTAAGACCCAGGAAATATTCCAAACAATTAATCAGATTTCAAGTTCGAATAAACAGAAATAATTCATAAAAGAACTATGATATTATGATTGAAAATAAAATTAAAGCTAACAAGCCTATCTATAGCTGCTTTCCAAGCTCCAACAAATTCCTAAAGAATTATGTTTGGAAGACAATAATTCACTCTAAATGAAACCCAGCTACAATTCCTATTTATCGAATTTATTTGGACTCCCTAATCCTAATGTGATTAGAATTTCTAATCATTTTAACCTTTTTTGACACTTTCGCTTCTAAGAAAAGAAAATAAGATAGACTATTCCAAAAAATAACACTAAAAAGTACCCCTAATTTAAGAAAGCCACGACTTTTCACTCTGATGCTGAAATTGATATCTATGATCCCATTTCAAAAGTGGCAGCATAAACTCTATAATAGCAAAACCAAGTGAACTAGGCTGAAAAATACTTCCCAAGGTCCTGATATCAGCCCTGAAGTTTGCTATGTATAATCAGCCCATATCATATATAAATGATCATACACTTTCTTACTCAAAAGGGCATTTTTTAGTAACTTAGCATTTCTAGTGTGGCATTAAATTTTTTTGACACTAATGCTAAAGTATTCAAGGACGACTTTTCCACATTTTATACTAATAGTGCCCTCCATTGGGACCTGATAAAATTGATTCTATTTACCTTAATGGCTTTCTTCAACAAGTTTTATGTAATCAAGTATTCTTTTACTTAGGTGTTTAGGCTCTAATTTTGGCAATTCCTCAAACATCAATAAGATTTGGAATCTAACTTGTGGCATTGACTTTCAGTTATTATTTTTCGAATTGCATCAAACCACTTCCAGTTTCCAAGACGTCCTTCCATTTTCCAAGAACTCCTTCAGCTATATTGTCTGAATCATAGTTATCAAGACCAGATCCAACTTGCCGATCCCACCCAAATCCTTACACGATCTTGTCTAAGAAGAAATAGGATTTTGGTTGAAAATAAGTCAAAATTAACTTTTGACTTTAGTTTAAAGAGTTAAGCCTCTTTTTTTTTTTTTGGTGTTAGGTATTAGCAGGATTAAAAACCACAACGTGGTAACTAAGTATGGGGTTACTACCAGAACGATGCAGCCGTCTATCTATTTGATATTTCCTAGCAAATATCTCAAGTATCCGAAAATAAGCAACAAGATATTTTCCTGATATTCAAATGTGCAGAGTGGTTCTTTAGAGGCTCACTAGCTGGTGTTTCGTCCCACTCTGACAGTTCTGACTCTTGTTTGGTGGATTCTCTCT